GCCTCATTAAGAAAGGTGCTGGTTATCTTTTTAGAGTTTCTGAAAAACTGGTTTTCCAGAAAACCGGGTCTTAAAGGGCCCTCCGCCCAAATCCTTTTAGCCTTTTTGCCTACTCGAGATCCTCTATCGAATGATGTATGAACGAACGAAATCGGAGCCGGACACCTGGGGCGGTTCCCTCGTGAGCAAAAGCTTCGTCAATTTTCAAAACTCTTCACCTTAAAAGATGATTCAACAGAAAATAAAACTTTTCGATATAGTAGAACAAAAACGAGAGAACAAAAGAAGAGTTCAATGTTTATTAGGAAAAAGAAGCGTTTTTTCTCGATTTCCTCTATAATAGAGCAAAACAATGTCAGGTCACACAAAGGTCAATACTATTTGTCTTCCAGTTTCGGAACGGGTAAGGTGTCATAAATTGATACAATATGCTTCAAGATGATTTAACTAAAATCCATATTTTTACTTAACGTCGAAAAAATTAACAATCGACGCAAAAGAATAAAGGACGGGAACGTATGAGGTCAGAAATCGATCCACTCTCTTTTTCGAGTAAAAATGGCTTCCTATCAACGAAAAACGCCGCAGTATTCAATTCGAGATGAAATAAGATACATTTCTTCACTAAAGGCCTAATTCACTAAAGGCTAATTTCTCGATAATACCATTCACAACGGCAACCTCCAAACCAGCATTGCACGATCAGTAAACGCTACTTATCTCATCCTTCCTACATCCATGGAGACTAACAAAACACATGAATCGATAGCCCTTAAAGTTCTCTATAAGTCACTCATCACAGACATCCAAAAGAAACGTTTGGTAACCAAAAACACCAGTATCGCACTGCTTTAGCCACATTTTCTCTGAAAACACACTACACACTTTTACATAATACACGGCTCGATAGCCGTGGTTGGTTTTCTAGCGGTCAGGTTTTCCAGAAACCCTATTATCAACTTTTCTCATAAAAAAGGCGATATGAATCTTATCTGATAGAAAAATCTTTCAGCTATGCAAAACAGTGTTCTGAATTATTCCAGATTTACTGAAAAATCAAATAGAAAGGAGTTCTTATGATTAGGACACGCTTTAGTGCATAAATAATATCCACACGCTTGTTTTGCATATCTTAAATGACTGACCCCAGAAGTCTAGATATTCTGAATAGCTCAGTTTGTAGAGAATTACAAGGCCTATCCAACGGTATACTTTTAAAAAATATATCATTTTTCATTAGGACAGAAAAACGACTAAAGTGGTTTGCAGCACGCGTTGTTCGTACTCCAACGCTCCTTTTCTATGCATTTGGTAACTGGCCCGACCAGTCTAGTCATTCTGGCTAGCTCAGTTTGTAGAGAATTTCAAGACCTATCAAACGGTATATTATAGACAAGAGTAGAATTTTTCGTTTCCCGAGAAAATCTCCGCTAAAAGAGTACTGTAGCCGTGTTTTCGGTAGTCGAACGCTTCTTTTCCATGTCTGTGCGGTCTGGCCCATCCGGTCAAGACATTCTGACTATTTCAGGTAGAGAATTTCAAGGGCTATCGAATAGTATATTATCTAGAAGAGTATAATTTGTCTGTTTCTCAGAAAATCTTCTCAGAATTCATTTTTGGTCGCTCGGTAAGTCTGGTAAGTCGAAAATTTAACAATATTATTTTAAGTAATTAATTTTTTTCTCAGCCAAATAATAAAATAACAGTAACCCGAAAAACTTCCGAACATACACTTTGAAGTGTCTTGTACAAACCGGGAAGGCTTGAAGAAAAAATTCAAAACTTGAAAATATCGCTGGGTTTTGGCTCACCGAAGATTTTCTTACCTAACCTTACGGCTAGTTTCGCTCGAACCAAGCATTTTGAAGCAAAACTCTGCGTTCAAAAGTTGTTCAGAATCGAATTTTGGAGTCCCTAACGAGAGATTTTTTAACATTTTCTGTTTTTGGCTTTTAAATTAAATTTTACGGGTTTTAAAATTTTAAAATTTCGTATTTTTCGATTTAAAGATCAAAAACAGAACATTTTACGAAAAGCTCTTGTTTCGGACTCCAAAATTCGATTCTGAACAACTTTTGAACTCAGAGTTTTGCTTCAAAATGCTTGCTTCGAGTGAAACTAACTTAAGGTGAGGTGAAAAATACTTTTAGCTCTGAAGTTTCCTCGAGAAGGTGAACGTTAAATTTCTGCGTTAAACTTCATTCAGGAACGATGAAAAGGGTTTCTCCTTATACAAATTGATGTTCTCTATCGAACTACGCTAGAATCAACTCTTCATATCCAAAAATGAGGTTTTTGTTGAAATTTTAAAAATAGGGCAAAAAAACCCGAAAAAAACTTAAAAATTGTTTTTATCAAAAGCTATAATCTGGAAACCGAAAGCTTTGTTGGAACATATACTCCGAAGTGTCCTCCACAAACTGGTGGGAAAAAACGGGTGGGGGAGTCCCCCCTTAACAGAAAAAACTAGATAGACTTCCAAAATTTGTTCACGTCCTTTAGACCTTCTCTCAACATGAGATTCCATTTTGGACACGTTATATGTGATCAGGCTCAATTCCACAAAATATATCCCGAATAATGCAATAGCTAGTAATCTAATTACTCTTTTAAATCAAAATTATTACTCACAATACTAAACTGTGTCCATGTAATAAACACTCGAAGTCAGTAAAATTAGTGTTTAACAATGACTCTCTAAAATAATTAATCCTACATACTCCTTTAGGTGGTCAAACACCATCCAGTTGTATATCAACAGAAAACACAGAATAGCATAAAAAAAAGAACTAAAATACAGTATCTCCGATAGAATAAACAAAATCATTCTCATCCTAAAAAACGTATCATTAAAACGAAAGTGGTGTAAGTCCATTCATAATCTTAATTATAATGATGGTAATAAATTCTAGAAATAAATTACTTTCTATTATTTTCTAAAGTCAAATAGAAATATTCGTATATCTGTCAACAAATTATCTAAAATAATTGAAATATCTGATACAATCATGTTTAAATTCTATAATACTTTCCAGTCCAACAATAGTCATATTTGGTCGTCTAGCATTATATTTCATTGACCACGGTATGCCAAAATCCACAAACCCGTACCTCTACCAATCGTGTAAGAACGAATATGTTTTCGATACAAGTGTCCAGATATATAAACATCGTCATGAAGATAACACGAACTCGGTGCGTCCGTATAATCAAAGATTGTATCGTCTATATCTTGACGACGGTAAATTACACCGCTGAATGCTGCTAGAAGACCATAACATTTTCCACGTGTCGATCGCCAAGTCCATATTTTACTTTGAGGATTATATGTTTTGCACAGAAATGTCGCAGTTAAATTCGATGGTAAATTGAGTACAGTGCCGATAAGATAAGCGAACATTGAACGATGATATGTACAATCGTCATCAATGGTAATGATAAGTGAATCTGGATTCAATATTTAATACACCTAAATGAAGGTAGATGTGATTGTTATTCCGTTAAGATAAACATACAATCGACCGTTTTTCGAACAGCTCAAAAACAAAGGTTGAATATTCGAGTTTTCATCATTCTACAAGACACTTTGAGGCATCTTCTTACCAGTAAAAACATCTTCAAACAACATTCTGGAAGAGATCTTTGGAAAGTAAGGGCAGATCTTAAAAGTTTGAAATAAAAATCTACTAGTTTGGTTTTCGTGGGTACTCGACACAAAACAGTCTCTTAAAAATAGAAGGCTTTGACCATATCATCGATCAGCATGGCATCGGCTTTCCTTCTTTGAATGACGATGGAATGACGGACATTTAGCAAACAAATCGGCATGCTCTGTCTTCCCATTTAAGTATATAAAACTATACTTCAAAATAGATTCCCAAAAGAATTTTTCTTCAAACTGTTAAGGATCATGAGAAAATACTAACGATCATAACCCTGAAAGATTGGAATGCGATAAAGTACGTTTTCCATTAAACCCAACCAAGTCCAAAACAAACGCAACATTAGTTTAATCTATATTTATTAGTTAGCTGAAATAAGCATCACAGGTAGTTAGGAATCGCAAAGCATTGTACCTGGCTATCTGTAGAAACGCAACATAGACAAATGGGATAACAACAAAAAATAAAAACTATTATTTAAAAAAAACGAAGGGAAAGTTAAAAACAAAGAAGAGCAAATAGAAGAAAAGAAAAAAAAGAGTGGACGAAGTAAGGGATATGCACAGTAAGTTAGCTGTTAAATCGTTGAGAGTATTCAATAAATACAGCAGAATAGATTACAGAGTATTCATCATACTCAAACCTATTTTTTAATAGCAGATTTTTAAGATCAATCCTAATTTTCTGTGGTATGGAGTCGGTGATAGTATTCATCATCACAGTACGGTAAGAAGCAAATAAATGGCAATGAAGAAGAAAATGTTCCACTGTTTCAGGTACTCCACGTTGACAGAGATTACTTCCAACTAGACGTTTTCGAAAAAGGTGAGAGTTCAGGTCAGAAAAACCACATCGTAACTAGTAATAGATCTGATCATACTTTCTGTTCACACTATAGATTCTAAAAACTTTTATATTGTTTTCCGTCGAGACTAATTTACTGCTAAACTCTTTTATTTTCGTACATGATCTCAGATTATTATCTAACTTATTCCACTCAAGTATAAAACGAGGAAAGAAAATCATTTCGAATCTCTTTGAACCTGTGAGTGTATTTAGTCTGTTGGATGTTTGAGAACGCAAAGCATGATGGAAATTAGTGTTTTTTTTAGTTTATCCTGTAAGTGTTCAGGTGTTAATCCCAATAATATTTTGAACCCTAGCAACAAAACATTGTTCAAAAAAGTTCGTTCGATGTCTAACCACCCCAAACAGTTTAACATCTTAAATTTATCCGTTAGACATTTACACTCGGAAACTAGGCACGCAAATTTATACTGAAGAGAAAAAATAGGACTGAGATCGGTTTTATGTGTCAAAGAATAAATGACAGATGCGTAAATTACAATCGGGAACACAAAGGCCTTATACATTTGATCCAAAACTGTTGTATAGAATATATTTTTATATTGGTATATTAAGAATTTTGTTACATCTAGTGTGAACGTACATGATATGCTTATTCCAGTCAAGCGTCGGGGTTAGAAATAGGCCTAAATGCTTGTGACTGTTAATACTAGTTAGTCGAATATTTCCTATAATCACGGGATTAAGTGATGAATCTATATTTTGTTTATAAAAGGTGATTGAAACACATTTTATTATATTTAATTTTCATTGCCAAAAAATGGACCAGCTATACACTTTCTCAATATCCTTGTTTAGTAAATCAGTAGCGACTTTTAGTGATTCATGCTCAGTATGAAGAAGAACATCATCAGCGAAGAGTCTAGCCACCGATTTTAACCCAAGAACGATATCATCAATGAAAATCAAGAAAAGGAGGGGATCTAGAATTGAACCCTGGGGCACCCCTCTATTGATTTTTCTAGGACTTCAAAATTTTCCGTTAATCATTGTAATTATGGATCGATCACTTGAATAATCTTCAAACCACTTCAGCATCTTACCTGACACACCTTTCGTCCTTAGTTTGTAAAGAAGATCAGTGTGCCAGACAGAATCAAATGCTTTGCTGAAGTCCAAGAATACGGCTCTAGTTAAAAGTTTGCTATCAAAACCTTTACTAATAACATGTACAAGATCTATTAATTGATTTACCGTTGAATCTTTATGCCGAAAACCTGACTGTAATGAGTACAACAGTTTATTCTTAGTCAAGTATGCGTACAAACGTTGATAAACTATACGCTCAAGTACTTTAGAAAGGACTGGTAAAAGAGTAATAGGCCGATGATTAGTGGAAAGCCAATGTTCACCATCCTTGTAAAGAGGATTTACATAACCGATTTTAAAATACTCAGGAAAATCACTCTTTAGAATAGATTGGTTACAAACACGAGTGAAGATATTCTCTATAACTATCCCAGCTTCCTTAACCAACTTTGAAATAACACCAGGACTCGATGGTTTATTCGAGTTTAAGGTTTCAAACGCCTTTTGAACTTCATTGTTATTTATATTTATAATGTCAAATTTCGAACTGACCGATAGTAGTTTATCCTCAGGAATAGATTTTCTTGCATCTCTTAAGTCCATAGTACAAATATTTGCAAAATACTCGTTCAAGATATTAGTCTTTTCAGTATTATCATATATCCAATTTCCGTTTGAGTCCAAAAGTACAGGTATATCGGTACGCCTGTTTCTTCCTAGTACATGACTTATTAGTTTATACCAGGTTTTGGGCTGTTTTTGCATTAAATTTCTCTTTTGCTACTTTACATGAATCCTCGTATTTTTGTGCACTCAGCAGATATTTGCTTTTGTAATAATTAGATGAAATGTTTTTCTTTCTTAAAGCAAAGCAACGGTCTTTATTTTTTCTCAAACGTCGTAGCTCTTCCGTGAACCATGGCTTGTCACGGTTATTAATTTTAATAATTTTACTTGGCACCGTGGCATCTGCTGCCTTTGGTATTGTCTCGTTAATATAATTTACCATGTCATTAACAGATGTATTAGTAAGAGTAGTAAAGTTTGATAAGTACGAATCAACTTTATACCTAAAATAGTTCCAGTCAACTGAATTCTAGTTATAAATCTTGCGACTGAAAGAAGTATTAACTGCTGTGGATGGTGTGAGAGCAAGGCGTAAAATTTGATGATCACAAGACTGACACAATGGAGAGAGTACGGAACAAGATCTAACCATACTCAGATTAGTAATAGCCATTAAATCTAGGCACGAATTCGATATGAGCCTGGTTGGTTCACGCACTAACTGTGTAAGATTTAATGACTGAAAACAATTATATATTTTTTCACCTTCGAGAGTGGTCGGTTTACCGCCGTACCATTTTGAACAATACGCATTGAAATCGCCAGTTACTGTAACTGCATCATAAAGAGTTTTTGACGTACACACAGTGATACTTTCGTCGATAAAGTCAATGAAACTCCCAAGAATTTTCTCATTAGAATAAGGACGGTAAGCTAAGACAAGCAAGATTTTACGAAAACCTTGCAAAAAATATGATTTCAAATTGATCGTTTTCAATTGATGTCAGTCTCGTGCACATTATGTCTTGTCTCATATACATAATCAAACCACCTCCACGTTAATCAGTTCGATCTTTCCGAAAAAAATTATATCTAGAAACCTCTATTGTATTATCGTCATCATTCGCAGTTAACCATGATTCAACAACACCTATTACTAAAGGGTTTTCGCTTTGAGCTAGTTCTTGAATGAAATGTAGTTTTGGAATGTTACTATCCGTTGACGCTTCTCCTAATAGACTACGAATGTTTAAAGAAAGAATACTATCATTGCCATTTAAATTCGCTCTATCGGCACAATATTTAGAATTAGCCATTATCATAAAAGAAAAGCGCAGCGACTATATACCACTCAAAATTGATTGATTTAGAGTAGAAGAAGATTAGAAAATCCAAAAATCTGTACATACCTCTTCAGAAGAAACAAAAAGCTATGAAAGAAACATCAAGAAAGATAAAAACCAACGATGAGAATAAAAATAAAAATAAATATAAATAAACCTGGCAGAAGTATTTTAACTGCTTATAACCCACACGTACCTTAATCGATATGTACATCACGAATGATTGCACATATACCTAATGCATATCTAACGTAGAGACTGTCTAACCCACAGAAAGAAAACAAAATAAAAAATATGACTGTTTAAAGAAAAACGGACGTGAAATACGCACTGCAAAAAGACAGAATGGGACAGCAAATAAGTATACAATATTACCTGACTATAGTTCTTTTAAATTACGCAAGTATTCGTACCACGACGGCGAATCTACAAAACTATTGTTTTGAGACCAACTGGGTATAGCTATTTTGTTTGTGTATTTGATAACGAATTAACTTGGCCTGAGTCAAGTGTTACTGCCTGCGTCGGAACAGGTAGTAAATTCTGAGAAATTGAGTATTGTTTTATAACTTCACACATTTTAGTTTCATCATTAACAAATATCATTTTTTTATTCTGACCTTTAACCATCACTCGACCCGCTCTTGTAAACACAAATTTTTTCATTTCATCCGGTAATTGTTCACGCAATGTTTGCATAATATTCAAATCTCGTCGTGTGACATCTTCAAAGACTTTCATATCTGTTGATTGCTGAATTAATTTTCTGTTGACTAACAAAGTATATGAATTTTCATATACTTGAAAATAAAAGCATAAATTTAATAATAAAAATTGTGAATAAAAGCATGCAATCACTGTACGATTTGGTTTTGGTTTACCAATTCGATGTGCAACTTCAATTTGATTGATATTCAGTTTAAGACCGGATTGTGATACAACATTCACAATAACATTTTTTAATCGATGAAGAGGCACGTTATTATCTATTCCACTGAAACGAACATTATGTGTACGAGAATGGTGTTCAAGATAGTTAATTTTATTTACTATTGGTTGGATTGTTAAATCAATATGCTTTTGGATCGGCTCGACAAGCGTGGCGGAAATTGGTTCCAAACAAGCACTAAAGTCACCTTTATTATCGTTTAATATTCCTTTAATTTTGGATTGTAATTCGATATTACCACGGATACTTGTTAAAATTAAATCATTTAACTGACTAGCGTCAGGCGTCAATGTGACTAACTTTGACTTGTTACCACGTTTTGTACTTATCATACCCTCATTCATTTTTATATAGACGAAAATACATGCGGGAAGAGAACAGAGAACACGCTTCTTTTTTGGCTAAACTAACGAAAATATTTCTCACTTTGGACTTACGAGGGACCTTTTCAACCGTCTAATCGCTTTCTAGTCGAAACCCAGTGGGTTATAGGTTATCGACCGTGCTGAATTCCGAATATCAACATGAGACGGGCTCTTAGGCTTTCAAAGACTGATTTTCCAGAAACTCCAAAAAGCCTCCGAAACTTTTTCTTAATAAGTCTTTTTATTACGAACTGATCTAGCGATTGAGAATCGATCCACGAATTCGCAAACCCATTCTGCGACTTCGTTGCAAAACGATGTGTACGCTTATTAGCCTGAGTACGAATTCGCAAACTAATTTACCGAATTCGTCAGTGCTAGTTTCGACAAGGACAAGAAGCATTTCCGTGAGGTTAAAAGTAGATAGATTCGTCTCTTCGCATCGGTTCCCATACTTCTCACCTGAACTCGCCGTTATTTTTACGAATTCGTAAAAAACTGACTGAAATCCAACGAAATACTCACAATCATCCTCACTCTCGCACATGCACACAAAAAGAAGAAAGATTCCTCTCTATTTTCTTTCGAGAAAAACTATCGATGAATTGATGAAAGACTTGAACGAATTGATGAAAGACTTGAACGAATTGATGTGAAGAGACGATTCTTTGTTTTCTTAAACTTACAGAAAAATTTCTTGTCTTTAATATCAATTCGCATTTTACGAATTCGTAAAAATAACGAGGAATTGAGGTGAGAAGTATGCGAATTGATACGAAGAGACGAATCTATCTATTTTTAACCTCATAGAAAAATTTCTTGACAATAATATGCGAATCTACGAATTCTATTTACGAATTTGTCGGATATGCTTTGGCATCTACGAATTCGTAAATTCGCATTTTTGCCAATTTACGAATTCTTGGGGACCAAAAAGATCATTTCACGAATTCATCGATAGTCGAACAATTCGATTTACGAATTTCGATTCGTCGGTACCCGAAATTCCTTGCCTACGAATTCGTCCCAATTTACGAATTCGCACAAGAAACAAAAGAGGCATCTTTTTGGTTCCTTTTTGATCATTTTTGTTAGTTCGCATCAGTTCGCTGCTAATTTACAAAACAATGGTAAAATGCGAATTATTATATCATTTTTATGCTCAAAAACTGCGATTCGTCAATTAGTCTCTAGACACTTTGTCCACACTAACCTTTTACCTACATGAAGAGTAGCCCGTAGAATATTGCGTTTATTACCAATATCTAATAGCTTTGTACTTGGTCCATAATCCTTTTCTCTAAGTATTTTAAGTTTTGGATGGTACTATTTGACTAGTAAATTAACATTTTGTGGGATTTGTGCATATGTAGTATTAAAGCGTTTGATTATTTTGAGAATGTTTAAATAGACAATGTCAGGCTTGTATGACTGAAGAAATATAGAGTGTATAGTAACATCTATGAGCGACAGACGCGATCCGAATGATGATAGTGATACAACAACACGTGGAATATGTAATGGTTTTCGAATTTTGGTAATATCTTGAACGTAAGAATCACCAAACGATGTGAATAATGGTATAAAAAATTCTAGATAAACGGTACTATATAACTCGTATTTGAAATAGATACATATAGATAAAGCACTGAATAACAAAACAACAAGAAGGAAACGTTTACACCCAGACATTTGTTCAGATCTAAAGTAAAGTAGAGAGAAACAGTGCTACCTGGTGCATTACGAGAGAAAAATACAATCAAGTTTACACAATCGTTATATCTTTGAAAAAGTTGATTAAGATTGTTGTTAAAAAATGGAAGTGAAAGGTGAGTTATTTCTAGATGTCAGAAAGTAATTCTTTTCCTCGCCACAAGAACTTTATGCGGTTCAAAATGTGGAAATACTTGAGCGTTAAATGGGCTAAAAAGTCAATTTTTAATCATAAAAATTACGCTTCTATTGTTATTACAAGCTTAACCTTTTTGCTATTGGATGATCATTTCATGCTACATCAACACGATGTGGCCCTTCTAATGTTGGTGTAAATTCAGCTACATAAATACCTTCACCACGAGATCTAACATTTGCAGGTTTACGATAATCTTTTAAGAAAAGTAAAAATACAATTTAAAAATATATTTCGAGAATGTATAAAAATAATCATCAAAATATGGCACTTACTTATTCACTCTACGTGACAAACACGTTCTACAACCGCAAAAGGCGATATTTCTGTTATCAATGAGCTAAATTAAAATCAGCTGTAAGAGAAAGAAAAAAACGGGCGAGGATTTTTCTGTGCACTGTTTTTTCCAGAATTATGCACTGTTTGCTGTTTTCCATGCACTAAAAAATCTTTTGACATTTTTGTGCACGGTTACAGAAAGGTGCACGGGAAAACGCAGAAATGTGGATGGAGATGTGTTTGTGCACGGTTTTTGAAGAACGAGGTTAATCTATACCCTATCGTTTGATTATTAAATTATTTTGAGAATTAAACAATACACGAACTTGAAAACGTTATTTTTTGAATAACTCAAAAGAAATAGAAGATAGAGACTTGCGGTTTTCATCATTCGCTAGCCAAGATCTGAAGCTACTTTTTCATAAGCAGAAATAAAGGACGGGGAACGGTTTCTGCTAGAAAATGGCCCAATATGATTTTGAGTGAAAATGATTGAAAATGCCTCCCTTTTTACTTCTCATTCTCAAAACTTCATTCTGCTGTCTTTCAAAACAAAATTTACTTTTCATTTTTCGCCAGCAGTTCAACAAAAGTCATTTACATTTTTTCGCAAATTTATCGTCCTATTTCAAAGTCCTTGAAGCTCATACATAATAACACAGAGAATTTTCTAGGCTTCAAAATAAGCTATAAACGAGGTTTTCAAAAATATGCCCATACAGGACAATTTGTCGAAATACTAGACAGATATCATCATTTTCACCTATCTTAACACTTTAAAGGAATATTTCTTGTACTCATCTACTCAGAACCGGAATGTTTTATTTACAGAAAGAGAGAGAATTTTCTAGGCTTCAAAATAAGCTATAAACGGGGTTTTCAAAAATATGCCCATATAGCATAATTGTCGAAATACTGTGCGTCTGTGGCGAACTTTTCTGTTGTGGTTTGATAGTTAGCACGTGGAGAGAGAGAGATGTATTTCATTATTATTTTTTGTTCTATTAATGTGGCGGTCGTATGAGAGATAGATATAGTGGTGTCGGGACATTGACGAGAAAGATACAGAACAGAAAGAATAAATAAAAAATGGTGGCTTTATAAGATTACTTCTTGCACGCATGCGTAAGTTATTTTTGAAGTTTATTGTAGGTCACATAGCATAACAGCTTTAAGAAAAGAAGAGATCAAGTTGAAGAATATGTAGTGTTATCTTCTTCGTCTGTGCTGTCGTAAAAGTCTGACACTTGAATACTATCATCAAAAATTGCTAAGAATGATGCAGATGGTTTTTCCCATGTTTCTGTTTGATACCGTTGATATGCTAAGAACCGGATTCCTGAAGCTCTATGCGAGCACATACCAACAGTTAGTTCTATTTCCGATTTTACAATCACAACAGCTTCCTTCGATGGAAAACTGTGAAAATTGTATGTAAGACCAGTAGGATTGAGCATTTACAAATTACAAAACCACTACGGGCACGATGAGGTACAATTGGTTATCGACATTTAATCTTTTATTTAAAAAATTTTAGCGGTATTGTCCGTTACCAGGTGCAGCGCTGTGAGAGTACTGAGCAAAGCTGCTAAAGTCAAAAGTTGGTGATGATCGATAATGGCACATGATTGGTTTGCACCATTATTAATTTTTGTTAACGCACTAGACAGAAGCGGACTGATTGATCATTTCGCAATGTGTTCTAGCGCATTGAAGAAGAAATTATTACAAAAAGTTCAAAGTTAAAAAATCTCACGAGCAATTTCTTTCAGTTTCTAATAATAAAACGCTAAGGGAGTAAGGGAGTAAGAGAAAAACAGTAAGATTAACGAAATAGCTAACAGTTGTCTCTCAGTACCTCTTTTTCACTGAAAAATTTCATAATAGTAATAAACGGTTCATTTTCTAGTTGAAGTACACTCACAACATCAGCCATTTTAACGTCTCTCTTGTATTGTATAAACTGCACATACTGCAACTGTTCTAAAAACACTCATGCTTAGGAGCTAGTGTACAGGGAATTTGATTAAAAGAAATGCAGACAGCAGCGACCGATCAACAAAATTTTGCTTAGGGAATGATCGTTATAGTCTACGTATAAAATAGTTGAAACTACAATGATGTACTTCAAGAGATAGATAGGTACAGAATTACTCAACGGTGATTAAATCCTAAAACGGCCCATCTCTAAAGTTATTAGCGTCCCACTTCTGTATTCTGCGAATGTCCAACTTCTGTATTTTAAGAGAACCAATGGCTATTTATCCCTAAAACGCCCTCTTTTATCATTAAGTTCAACTCTCCCACTCAATTTCGCATTTTTGTTTCCTTGGCACGGTAACAAAACTCTTTTCAGAATGTGCCACATCATTTTTTATACAAAGTGTCATGCTTCGAACGTGCCATAGGGGGTGCACATTACTGTTACTTTTACAATATTTTTAACCCAAATATTGTATATATAACCAGTAACAGTAATACTTTTCAATTTTACTGTTGATCGTACAAATTTTATGAACATTTCTATTACCAGCAACAGTAAAACTGAAAAGTATTACTGCTACTGGTAATATATACAATATTTGGATTACTCGTAAAAGTAACAGTAATGTGCCACCCCTAATAAAGAGATATTTGTAAGAATACGTTTAAGTTTATGTAAGAAAAAATCATGTCCCTTATATATATCAGAAATTGCAAAACAAAATCGTTGATCGAATATGTGATTTTCTTTCAACTTCGAGATCTTTAAAGAACTTAATAGAAATATTGTGTTTTCTAAATCTTGAAAAGCAAACTTTCTGAACAACTAAAATGAGCCGAAAAACTATAACGAATGAAAAACTCATTTTTCTGAAAAATCAAAGTCAGGTTCTTCGTATTTCAAAGAACTTAAATGAGATCTTCAATTAGTTCTTTGAAAACACGAAAAACACGTTTTTTTTTCACGTTTCCCTTTTTAATGAAGCATAATTGTAACCCGCAAATTTCTGATTAAAATGAGACATCTCCCAGCTCTACACGATGTTTCTTCACAAAGTTATAGAATTTACAAGAAAAGCCCTAAATTAATTTCTTCTTATTTCTGTAGCTTTGAGCTGACAATGGACATTTAGGGCTTCCCTTGTAAGTTTCATAACTTTGCAAACAAAGGTCGTGTAGAGCTGGCAGATGTCTTGTTTTAATCACCCTTCATACCTATATTAGGTGGAATAACTCATTTCTGCCTATTTTCGAGTATAATTAGAAAATTCAGAATCCAGTCACGATCAATCTAAATTATGTCAGAATATCAAGATGTACTCTATTTTACTTGTCCAAGACGATTTTTTACTTCAGAATAGTAAAAAACATTCTTGTACTTCGAAAGATTTCTAGAAAACCGTTTCGAAAAAGAGGGTATTTTGTGTTGATTTTTAAAGCTTTTATTGAACTGCATAGTGTTGAGCAGATCAAATAGAGTACATCTTGATAGTGTGACATAATTTAGATTAATCTTGACTGAATTATGAGTTTTTTAATTATATACATACTCGAAAATAGGCAAAAATGAGTTATTCCACCTAATATAGGTTTTCATTAGGTTGTTGGAGGTTTTCTGGAAAACAATTATTGCCACGAGAGTCAGCGTGGTTGATTACCTACGTTTCCATTATTTTTGGAATTACCACACCTAAGGAAGTACCTGGGACTCTCAGCCAATCCGATGCCACACCTGAACCAGGAAAACTCAAGAGTTCGCTTAGTTTGCATTTTGAAGAGGATACTTTGGACTATCCATCTATGGAAAAAAACTGATAGATTGTTATCTCAGTTTCCCGAGATCCGAAGTGCTTTTCCAAAGATCTCCTTCTGAATAGTTTCGGAAAAGGGTTTTGCTTATGAAAACATAGGTTAGACTGTCTTCTTTCGATTGTTGAAAATCGCAGGTCCCTATCTTTTATCGTTCTGAAGTTATTCGAAAAACAATTGAGTGCACTGAATTTTAGTGCCGATAGTAGGGATATTCGACTGTTGGTTTTTAACCAAAATCTAATTCTTCTTACAACAAGGTCCAAAGTTCGGATCGTGATTTTCGGTAGAGAAGAGAAAAACAGTCAGAAAAACACAAAATATAAATTAATACCACGTTCGCTCTAAAACTGACTCACACTCTTAGAGTGTCACTTCGACACTTCAAGTGACACTTCGGTCATAAGTGTAGATACTTGAAGTGAGTTTTTCTCCCCTTGACATACTTACTATTTTATACAAACTTTGAATTGATCTCTGCAACGTGTGATGCACTTGAATTTGTAAAGACTTATTGAAACCCCAATTGCTGCAGTTTAGAGTAGAATATTTATTGAATTGAAAATTGTATCTTTTGAGTACTGCATTACAAAAAAAAATATTAATGATACAGCATAGATGGTCCTGTCCAAAGTCCGCTGTCACATAATACCCATGCTACTTCTGTTGACTAGAGTCCTGCGGGTCTAACATTTTTGATCCAAAATCCGATCCGGTCTGGTCCCGTAGATTTGAACTTCGTCCGGAACCCGAAGAAAAGTTGTCGAGATCCCGATTTTTTAAAATCAAACCTGCAATAACCCGCAATTCTTTTTTCCAGTAAAATGCCTTCTTTACTGTGTGCATCAGCAAATCGCCACTCCAGCCTCAAACACAGAGGTCGATAGCCTATTTTCTGCGTCTAAAAACACAATTACTGATCATCGAACACGAATAGGAATCGAAAAAATTAACAACTTAACGTTTCATAAGAAAAATTTGTTTTCATTAAAATCTTTCGATACGCGAATATCGATGGACAAAAATACTGATAAGAGACAACATTCAGATGAAAATGGCGAGTATGAACAATTCACAGACAAGAACTAGAAACTGAGTCAGAGTGATGGTAGTTTCAACGATAATAAAAATTAACAGACTTGCGAAAAGAGTTTTTTCTATTTGTGTTCTTCGGATAAACGTATTATCAGGCTCAGACCCAGACCTTTTCTTACTTTTGTCTTTTGAATAGAATAGTAGAGGTTACCTGCAAAAAAGAATGCAGCTTTTAGAGAAGGAACCCAGTCCCGTACCCGTGGGTTCGGTTTCGGGTTCGGGATCGGGTTAAACCCGCAGAACTCTACTCCTGACATTGACAATATATCGCAGCAGTATCTCATTTCAAAGAATTTCACTTATTCTATGGATAATAGACGACAAAGTCTGTTTCATTTTTTTGGGAGAAGTGATGAGAAAAAATTAGTATGTGTAGTTGAGCTGTTCTTTAAGTATTTAACTCGCTCATTATGTTTTTGTCTACTTTAAGCATGTTACTTCAGAAAAGTTTTATAGAAGAGATTTAAGGCAAAAAAATGCAAAATATAATAGATGAATTGATTGAGTTTTGCTCCAGTTTAACGATCAAAGAGCGCGTTTTAAAAGAATTTCATTGTGGAAAAACCATAGAGAAAAGAAAGTGTCCAAATACATTTTTCGTTTCGAAAGTCTACTGAGTGTAAAAGAAGACTCATTATAGACTCATCTAAGATAATTAACATTTTTTCAAGTGGATAGAAACGTACAGCAGACTTCGCTCTATCTAACGGTAAAAAGATAATTTTCTTATCTTTTTGATTTTAACAGATAATAAGCTCGCAAAGAGAAGCTTCTTACAGTGTCCGACTACATCTTACACACACTTTATCTGATAGAACGGATGAGAGCATGATCCAAAAGTCCCGTCCACAAATCGTATATAAATGTTTTAAGGGTTCAAAGGTATCAAATATAGGATAAATGCCACCAAACAGAATAAATGGATCATCATTGATCATGTTGAATGATTCAGTTCAAAGTAGCCTACGAATATAGTGACATTTATCCTGCGATATATTATCCATATCAGGAGTAGAGCCCTACAGGTCACGCATAACCTGTCCTGACAGATTAGGACAGATTTAGGTTACGATTTCGCAGTTTAGGATAGGTTACAGATTACGAAAAGTTTTACAAGACAGGTTACACCACCCGCATCCTGTTTTCAAGCCCCCGTTAAGCGCCCTCCATAAAGAGGAAGAAATAAGAACTCGAAAAATAGTTTTTATTAGTCAAAAAAAATATTTAATGCATCGGGAAGAGTATTGGAAACACGAAGATAGTCATTGAATCCAGAGGTTGTTGACGATATATTATTCATCAGAAATTTCAGAGATGTGGGATCTTTTGTTGTTGATTTTTGCTACATAAACGTAAATGAAAACAATTTACTTTATTAGGAAAAATTTTCTAACTTGGACACTCATTTTTTGCAGTAATTTTTTCGCAGGGCAGGACAGAACAGGTTACCCAAAAAATATTGTAGGTTAGAACAGGTTATAGGTTACGAGCTATAAGGTTATGAAAGATTATAGGTTATTAAAGTTTTTACAGGACAGGTTATAGGTTATGAAAAAGTTGTAACCTGCAGAGCTCTAATGATGACATGACAAACGAAGGATATTTCTTTTCAATGATATAACAACAGTTGGATACGACTATTGTATTAAAATTTTGAGAAAGCAAGAAATCAATTAACCATTCATTCTATGAATCAAAAATCCAGTAATATGATATTACATTGCTCAGTATGTTGCATTAAAAAGATATGCTTGCAAAAGTAACATTTTTAATATCGTATGACATTTAACATACGTTTCAATCCTTGACTACATAACATTGTGATGAATAAAATTAAATTGTTGAAGTTTGTTATACAATGTTTTTGTTGCCTGAGTAACATGATTAGCAACGTTTGCTGCTAGAAACGTGGGTATTCTTCTTCATTAATATATATTCAAAGAATATTTTTGTAATGTTTAATAAGACAGAAAAAAGAATTTGTTATAACTGATCTTCGTTATGTTTCATTTAATTAGATGAAAGAAACCTATAAATATCATTATAATTTGAAAATAATTATCAAGAAGACTTATACTAGAGAATTGCTTATTACAAAATATAAGGTATGGTGGTAAAAAAAATTTCGTGCATTTTTTTTCAATCTAATAAACAGTGTATACCATCTCAAATTATAATACTCTCTGTTAATAGGTTCTCTTGATATATGAATGCTAAAATGAAGGACACTAAACCAGAAATGTTTGAATATTGATTGCTATTTTATTTTCTTATTAACAGGTTGAATGACCAACAATAAATGATTTTAAGAGCGATCAACAATCACAAATAGAAGTATCGACTGAGACATTTTTTAATTGTGTTTCTGAGAACTTTATCAAGACTCTTCAAATTTGTATGGTGAATGCTTGTTCATATACTTTTGATGAAGTATCAAATCTTTTTTTCTGTAAGATAAAAACTGCAAAATAATATTTCTGATTTGACTAAAGTTTTTTCCTACTATTTAGGGTTAATAAGCGTTCATGTAGTAATTTGGTAAAAATGTGTCGAGTAGCTCAAAATGTTATTTAAACTTTGTAACTGCTGATAGTCTGGTTGGTCTCATACTTTCGACTACTTTTAATAAGTCACCAATTCGAATATCCTTTAGTTGTAAAATATGTTCTTGTCGACGAATTTTAGCACGCAACACTTCAATTTCTTCCTGTAGTTGTAATTTTTGTTGCTTAATCTCTTCAAAATTCTAATCGTGGAACGGTTCGCCTCATTCCTTTCTGAGAAAATCGACCGGCACGTTTTGTCACTGAATTTAATGTGGTGATGGGTTTCAAGCTACGAGTGCTATCAATTGACATCAGTGAGTGATCTTCTAGATATAAAGAATCTTGAAACTTTTTTTGAACCTCTATTTGTTCATCAATTTTCAATCTGAGGTTGTAGAGTAAAACTTCAATGAGGCCCGGTGTTCCATGACACAGACCAGTAATAATGATCGCCGGTAGATCAAGACCAAAATGACTCAATATTCTATTATTTATTGTACCCCAGTTGGCTTTTTTCTGTCGAATACTATTCGCTGGTGTATAATTGTGCATTTCAATTAAATGAGGTAGATAGTATCGAATAACTTCGATCAGAAGAATTCATATAAAATAAGAACAAAAAAACCTTTTTTATGTAAAATAGATAAGATGAATAAAATTTATATATATACCATCGGAAAAATCTCTTTCAATTCGTGTTTTTGGTCGTGACAACGGTACACTATCAATCCACATATACAAATCTTCTAAGATTGAACCATCTAACTGCATTTGCCAAACCATTGATATTCCTTTGGGATCAATCACTAAAATAAACCAGAATTATGAAGTATTATCCTTAGTCTAATACACATTGATTTTAGATATTTTATAGAAGTAATTATAATACATTAGAAAAAGGAAGATCTACAAGCGAAAGTAGATCATGCAGTAACATAAAACATCATAGCATAACCAACTAACGGTAAATCGGTAAGATGTAGAAGCCAATAATACGAGAATATTTTGAAAAATTCAGTATTGATCAATATTCGATTTTCTGTGCAGTTATCGCCATATTCATGCTATTTCAATGTTTGAAACTTGCTTTGCCTGCTTACTGCAAACTTTTCATAAAAACACCTTTTATTCTTCTCATGGCATGTTAAAAATATTAATTTTCTCCCGTTCTTCCATAAATTTGTCGTTGTAAAATATGTTTACCGTATCGACTACAAAAAATGTATCTAGACACGCTAAAAGTGATAGTTGCTATTTTATTTAGAAAAGCATATCGACAATATTGGCATTTATTGCTATTTTTGTATTTTCGGAATATTTCTACTGCAATCCAATTTTCTAGGCTGTATTCGTCTATAAAATAACGCGTGGAAAATACGGTAAGTGTGATGAAGGAATAACACTACACAAAAAAACTTTTATTGGTATTGTTTTGGTATGCGTACGCTTAGAATAAAAAATGTCTTGGCAGTACATATCAGTTTTTTTTTGGCACTAATTTGGCATCGACACGGGTAATGCATTGCATTTACATCGCTGCGACTTTTTGGCAGTCACCTTTTAGTTTTGCAATCGGTTATATTATATAAGATGTATGCTAAGTTTTTTGATGTTCACTTCCGATTTTCATCTCGTGAGAGAAGTGTCGAGACAACGCAGTCCGGTTTGAAATGGTTGCTTGTCGTAGCCATGCTGCACCTGCAAAAAACGAGTGCAACCTTGTTTTTATGAATAGAACTTTGGCATCGGGTGACATTGATGCCGATTCGGCAAGGTTTTCAAGAACGCTTTCAACAGAAACATGCTTTTTCACTTTCTTGGACAATACAACCATTTTTCGGACAAAATTAACTATGTTGTGAAGTTTTCAACTTATTCTCATGTTTTTCGAGTGAATTATGAACTTTTTAACAATACATAAAATGTCAAGTTTACGCTATGTCAGTACAATCTTATAATAAACTAACAGTTCAGAGCGCTTCTTGCAAAAGGTAGATCACTGCGAAAAACTTGATTGTTCAAGTCATCGACTATTGCTCTTGTTGATCCGGGCACACCAGTTTTTACAATATCAAGCGATTTTAATGTACGTATAACAAACACTTATCCGGTTTTACATTTACTGTTAAAGCAGTATTTTAAAAAATGAAAAGGGCTTTTGCAGTTCAAATGTAAAACGGAAATGCGTTGGTATAGTTGCAAATACAAAAAACCTGTTTCGTCTTGTAATATACGTTATTTTTTTGTATTGATAGTTGGGATTTTACCACGTACTCTCGGCAGGCTATAAAAGAAGGGTATAAGTTTAGGGTCTGAGGAATAGCCTGTTCCGGGGCTATAGATCAAATAATTTTCAAAATCTCGGTGAACATTTTGTACAAAAAACCAGATTGAATACATGTTTCCTGATTTTCGATTGAACAAAGAGCTCTAAAACTTTTTCTTTGTTAGCCAAAATGTAGGGCTTTGTACGCTCTACGTTTCTATCTATTTTAAAACATTTTATAATTCCTCATTAACATATGAATCTAGATCTAAACTCCGTGGACAGAATTTTGCAAAAATGCTTTCAAACAGAAATTTTTGATAGAATCAGATCCAAATCGTATTTTGTTTAAATTTAAAGTATATTATAAAAACCTGCTTTTTAGGCTACAAGAAACTCTAGAAGACTTTTAGAACAAGTTTGAATAACTCAGAGAAAAAAGTTGACTCTTTTTTCAT